CTGGGACCGTGAGTCGGCCATCTTCCACTTGGAGCACGCAGCTGACCTGGGCGAGCTGGAGGCCATCGTGGGCCTGGGACTCCTGTACTCGCAGCTGCCCCACCACATCCTGGCCGACGTCGCTCTGAAGGTGAGGGGCTGGGACCAGCGGCGGCCTCCCCAGCCCACCTTCCCCAGCCTGGGGTCTGATCACCGGGTAGAGCCCCCACTTCTGAGTTAGAGTGGGTCTCCGGCCTGGGGACTGAGTGGAAGGGGACAGTCCCATTTCCAGGCAGGTGCAGCAGGGGTGATGGGAGAAGCAGGAGAGACAGGTGGGAACAAATGAGGGAGGGCCCTGCCTGGGGCTTCAGGGTCAGCTTGCTTCCCGAGCGCTGGCTCCAGTGGTGTCCTTAGAGGCTAGAACAGTCCAGCACATAGTAGGTGCTTAGGATTTGCTTGTGAAATGAATGAATAAAATGATATTTAAGTTAGACCTAAAGGCCAAATGGTGATTAAGAGCAGTTCAGGGAGAGGGGCCGCACACAGGCTGGCGGAGCTAAGGGCTGGAGGCGATTGGTGCGGCCGGAGCCTGCGGCACGTGGAGGTGGCGCAGGAGGGGAGGCTGCGTGGGGTCTGAAACTGCGGGATGTGGGGTGGGAAGCCCATGAGGTCCGCTCCCCTGCCTCCCTGGCCCATGGGCACAGTGAGGAAAGCGCCCAGTGAGCAGGTCCCGTCAGTCTTTCCCCGGAGAAGTTGAGAAGCCCTGGTCGAGCACGTGGATGGAGAGGTGGCTGGTGAGGCTGGGCTCAGCCTGGCCGGGTACAGCCCTCTTCACTGGCCTGGATGTGGCCTGTGGGGAGGGGTCTCAGACCAGAAGAAGGCAGGAAGGCACTCCACAGTCCTTTATTTATTTAACTCTTTGAATAGGTAAGAGATTTATGTGATCAAAACCTTTATTTTCTTTAAAATTTTAGTTTGTTGTATAGAATTCCATAGTGTATTAGTTTCCTGTTGCTGCCATAACATATGACCACAAACTAGGTGGCTTAAAACAACAGAAAGTCATTCTCTCACAGTTCTGGAGACTAGGAGTCCAAAACTAAAGTGTCGGCAGAGCCCTAGCTGGTTTGGCTCAGTGGATGGAGCGTCGGCCTGCGGACTGAAGAGTCCCAGGTTTGATTCTGGTCAAGGACACATGTCCGGGTTGAGGGCTCGGACCGTGCAGGAGGCAGCCGATCAGTGAATCTCTCTCATTATTGATGTTTCTATCTCTCTCTCCCTCTTCCTTCCTCTCTGAAATGAATAAAAACTTTTTTTTTTTAAAGCGTTGGCAGAGCTGTGCTTCCTCCTTCCTGTCTCTTCCAGCTTCTCATGGGTGCTGGCATCTTTAGCATCCTTGGCGTATAGATTCATCACTCCCCTCTTTGTGTCTGTCTTCACATGGCCTTCTGTCCGTCTCTGTGTCTCTTCTCCTCTGATAAAGACACCAGTCATGCCCTGCGGACTGAAGGGTCCTGGGTTCCATTCCTGGTCAAGGGCACGTACCTCGGTTGCAGGTTCCCCACCCCAGTTGGGGCGCATGTGGGAGACGACCAATTGATGTGTCTCACGTCGATGTTTCTCTTTCTCTCTTTTTCCCCATCTTTCCTCCCTTCCAGTCTCTCTAGAAAACAATGGAAAAAATATCCTTAGATGAGGATTTTAAAAAAAGACGCCAGTCACATGGGATTTAGGGCCTGCACTACCCCAGGATGACCTCAACTTAACTAATCAACATCTTAGCATCTGCAAACGTCCTGTTCCAAATCAGGCCCCATTTTGAAGTTCTGGGTGGACGTGAACGGGGAGGGACACTGCTTAACGCAGTGCACGGGGTTTCCTTCTACCAACACAGCGTATTTTCACCCTGTTTTTCTCCAACGTTGGCCTACCACGCACTCACCTGGCCCGAGGTTTTCTCACCGGCAGCATCCACATTTCCCCTCGTGGTGTAGAGAAAGCGCCCTCGTCCTTTTCCACAGTTTGTGACCTTCTGTTACATGGGTGCCACGTGCTTACCAACCTTGCCCTGTCGATGGCCACTGGGGTTGGTTCCATTCTTTTTCTTTTTTTTTTTTTTTTTGGAACTATTTTTTTTTAAATTAAATCTTTATTGTTCTGATTACATTTGTTCCTCTTTTTTCCCCATAACTCCCCTTCTCCCAGTTCCCGCCCCACCCTCCGCCCTCACTCCCCACCCACTGTCCTCATCCATAGGTGCACAATTTTTGTCCATTCTCTTCCCGCATCTCCCACTCCCCTTTCCCCCCCAAGAATAGTCAGTCCATTCCCTTTCTATGTCCCTGATTCATTATAATCACCAGTTCATTCTGTACATCAGATTATTTATTCACTTGATTCTTAGATTCACTTGTTGATAGATGCATGTTTGTTGTTCACAATTTGTATCTTTACCTTTTTCTTCTTCCTCTTCTTAAAGGAAACCTTTCAGCATTTCGTATAATACTGGTTTAGTGGTGATGAAGTCCTTTAGCTTTTCCTTATCTGTGAAGCTCTTTATCTGACCTTCAATTCTGAATGATAGCTTTGCTGGGTAAAGTAATCTTGGTTGTAGGTTCTTGGTATTCAGTACTTTGAATATTTCTTGCCATTCCCTTCTGGCCTGCAAAGTTTCTGTTGAGAAATCAGCTGAGAGTCGTATGGGTATTCCCTTGTAGGTAATTGAGTCTCTTTCTCTTGCTGCTTTTAAGATTCTCTCTTTGTCTTTTGCTCTTGGCATTTTAATGATGATGTGTCTTGGTGTGGTCCTCTTTGGATTCCTTTTGTTTGGGGTTCTCTTCGCTTCTTGGACCTGTAAGTCCATTTCTTTCACCAGGTGGGGGAAGTTTTCTGCCATTATTTCTTCAAATAGGTTTTCAATATCTTGCTGTCTCTCATCTTCTGGCACCCCTATAATTCTGATGTTTGTACGCTTGAAGCTGTCCCAGAGGCTCCTTACACTATCTTCACACTTTCGGATTCTTTTTTCATTTTGCTTTTCCAGTTGGGTGTTTTTTGTCGAATCTTTGGTTTGATTTTTGTGCTCCTCTGGTCTGCTATTGGGTATAATATTCTTTATTTCAGTCCGTGTATGCTTACTTTCTAATTTCTTTATCGTAGCATCGAGGGTCTCATTAGTTTTCGTGAGGCTCTGCTCAAGTTTATAGCAAGCCCTCAAAATTGCGATTCTTAGCTCCATATCCTCCATTTCTGTCATGTTTTTTTGTCTCCGCATCTTTTATGCTTTCTTGGTGCACCCCCTTGTGGTCTTTGTGCGCAGTCTTGTTCTAGCCAAGCCTTAATTGTTGTAGTTAACACTAGAGGGATTTGACCACCAGGCCGACTGGCTGTAGGAATCAGCTGTGTGGAAAACGTCTGTCTTCTGGGGAGGCGCTAATCCAGCCTTTGCCTGAGGCGATCAACAAATGGCTGTGCGCAGGGTTTGGGCGGGGCGGGCTCAACAGGGCGGGCGTAGGGAGCAGTTATGGCCGCTCTCAGTCCCGTTCCCAGAGGCTCTGCTTCTCAGAACCCCGGCAGCCGCTGCAAACCTCGGAGAGAAAGCTGCCCTCAGGTTCCAACTGATGCTGGATAATCCCGCTTCTCCCGTTTGAGTCTGGGTCCCTAGAGACTCGCCTGGATCTGGAGCCCAGAGTCTGAGACTCACTTCCGACCGAAAACGACAACCGCGCCCTCAGCCACCAGCCCGCTTTCGCGCGCACCTCGGTACCTTTGTATTTTCCACACTGCGCCTCCTCTGAGCCTCGGTTTGCTGTTCTCTTTCCTTCTAGTTGTAGAGTCTCTCTTCAGCCAGCCTTCCTGTGGTTCTGGGTGATGTCCGTTCCGTCTTTTAGTTGTATTTTTGAAATGGTTGTTTGCGGCAGCGGTCTCCGGTGTTTACCTACGCCGCCATCTTGGTCTCTCCCATAATCTCTATCCTGGTTCCATTCTTTGAATATCACAGAAATTGCTGCAGTGACGAGCCTTGTACACATGAAGTTGAACTTCACAAAACTACCATTTTTGTAGGTCAGGAATGGTCAGATATTGACAGTGGCATGCGGTTCAGTCAGGCCGGTTATCGGGCCCATGGGCAGAGATCACCCACAGCCGGTTCTATGGCCTGTGTTAGATGGTGAGGGCAGGCCTGGTGCCGGGAGGGGATCTGACGGGCGGGTGACGTGTCTCCCATCCCCATGCTCATTCAGCCAGTGCTGTGCGGGGAGTGTTCCCCGCTGGCTCTCGGGTGGGAGGAACGGTGTGCACCAGCTGTATGTAAGTTTATTATAAACGTTAGTGACATAAAGAATGTGGAACACTTGGGGTGATGAACACAATGCAATATACAAATGATCTACTATAGAATTGTACACTTGAAACCTATATAATTTTGTTAACCAATGTCACCTCAATAAATTCAATAAATAAATAAAAGGATGTGGAGCACCCTAGCTGGTTTTGCTCAGTGGGTAGAGCATCGGCCTGTGGACTGAAGGGTTCTGGTTTCAATTCCGGCCAAGGGCACATGCCCCAGTTGCAGGCTCAATCGCCAGTAGGGCGCATGCAGGAGGCAGTCAATCAGTGATTCTCTCTCATCATTGATGTTTCTATCTCTCTCTCTCCCCCTCTCCCTTCCTCTTTGAAGTCAATAAAATATATATATATATTTTTAAAAGACTATTGTAAATTCGATACAGTCAGGGCATTCTCACAGGATGCTTTCGCTACTTGTTGTGGAACTTTATATCTGCTACCCATTTACGGTTGCAACTGATGGGGTGTGACATTCTGACATAAATATTGGTCATTGTAAATATTGGTTGAAACTTTCATGTACGTTAGTGTGTAAGATGAAGGTGAAATAAGGAAGATCTCTGTCAGAACTGGAAGTTCGTTTATTTGCCGCTGATACGATCAACTGCATTGCTGCTAACACTGGAGAATGTTTCTTCCGTTTCCTGTGCTCGCACAATATAATGACAGGCACCAACGCTTTTAAGTTAATCTGCATCATGAATATTTTTTCATCTCTTTTTCAAAAAGACAATTACTCAAACCTTCACTTGTAGCGATTTCCGCTTGCTGTGATGTAAATGTGGCAATTTCATGATAAGTATGATGTCACTGAACACGGCATTGGGAGGAAATGCGCAGAAGACACGGTTTTATGGTGCGTTCATCACAGTTTCAAAAACCAGTGGTTCTCAGCCAGCCGCTCTGCCCTCCCTCTTTCCGGGAGACACTGGCTATGTCTGGAGACATTTTGTTTGTCTTGACTCTGGGGATGCACCTGGCACTAGTGGGCGGAGACCAGGGATGCTGCCGAATGCCCTGCCGGCACAGGGCGCCCCGCAGCACAGTGACAGAGTCCGACCATAGGTAAGAAGTAGCACGTAGTGAAATAACTAGGAAGTGATGCTTTTTGTTGTTGTTAATCCCCATCTGAAGATATGTTTTCCATTGCTTTTCAGAGAGAGTAGAAGGGAGGGAGGGAGGGGAAGAGAAAGAGAGAAACATCAATGTGAGAGACACATTAACTGGTTGCCTCCTGCATGCGCCCTGACTAGGGGCGGGGAGCGAACCCTTGACCTGGTATTGAACCTGTGACCCTAGGGTGGACAGGCCAACACTCTAACCACTGAACACACGGTCCAGGTCTGAATAAACAAAATGTGATATATCAATACAATGGGATGTTATTTGGCCATAAGAAGAATGAAGCATTAATACCTGCTACAACATAGATGAACCTTGAATACTGTATGCCAAGTGGAAGAAGCAGTCACATATTATAGGATTATATTTATATTAAATGTCTGTAGGTGATCCTGGCCGGTGTGGCTCAGTGGTTGAGTGTCAACGTATGAACCAGGTGGTCACAGTTCGATTCCAAGGCACATGTCTGGGTTGTAGGCTTGATCCTGATAAGGGACGTGCAGGAGGCAGCCAATCAATGATTCTCTCTCATCGTTGATGTTTCTATCTTTCTCTCCCTCTCCCTTCCTCTTTGAAATCAATAAAAGAGAAACAGTTGTTGCCCAGGGCTGGGTAGGATGGGGCAATTTGGAGGTGACAGTTCAGGGCATGGTGTTTCGGTTGTCTGAAATGGTTACGGTGATGTTGCACATTGTGTGAATATGCTGAGACTATTGATTTGTGTGCTTTCATTGGGTGGATTATGTGGTATGTGAGTTATATCTCAGTAAAGCTGCTGAAATGTTTAAAGAGTGGGGGCAGAGAGCCCTGCCCTGTGGAGGCAGGATGTGAATGGCTCTTCGGCAGCCTCGGAGCAGATCGACGACAGGGGGCAGGAGAGAGCTGAGCTGCTGTTCTCCTCCTGGTGGGCACCCAAGGAGCATGGCACCAGGTGCTCGCCCGTTCGTTCTTTCTCACGGTGCGCGATTCTGCAGCAGCCCCAGCCCAGCGCTCTCACAACAGTCAGTGGAGGAGGTTGGTCAGTGGCCCTGGCAGCCCTTCCAGTGCAGGCCTCATCTCTCTTCTCTCCCCTCTGGTTGGTATTGACAGGAGACGGAAGAAAATAAAACCAAAGGATTTGATTACTTACTGAAGGCGGCTGGCGCTGGTGACAGACAGTCCATGATCTTGGTGGCACGAGCTTTTGACACTGGCCAGAACCTCAGCCCAGACAGGTACTGTGGCCGCCACTCAGGGGGGCTGGTGGGAACCGGCTCCAGGTGGGAGCTTCCCCTCCAGGACCAGCACAGACCTGGGTTTCGGGCTCGGCTCCCCACTGCGTTCCAGTCCGTGGCAAGTTACTTTACCTCCCTGGCCTCAGGCTCTTCAGTGTGTAAACGGAATGACTGTGAAACCTGCGTCCTAGGATTGTTGTGTGAGGGTTAGATGAGATGGATTCTCACCGTGCCTGGCACAGAAGCATGAGCTCATGCGGCAGCTTAGCCGGTAGAGGTAAAGGTCCTGAGAAAGAGTCTGAAAGGATGTGCAGCATCGGGCCCGCGTGGTTGTCCCTGGATGGTAGGATCTGGGTGATTAGAATTTACTCTGCCTACTTTTATGTTTCCCTTCTGAGAGGGAGGGGGACGGAAGCAAGCCCAGGGTAGCTCAGGCCTGGAGTGGGTTTCCCAGGGTGGCTGAGCCTCCTGAAGGCAGGACTGCAGGTGCTAACTCTTCCTTAGCTGCCGCTCAGGGCTGGTTTGTGCAGGGGGAGGAGGGGCTCCATCTCATCTCCTTGGCTTGACCAGTGAGTCGTCCCAGAAGTCCAGGCTGAGCAGAGGACAGTGGGGGAATTGAACTCATAAAGCAAGTATGTCAAACTCAAAGGCTAACACGGGCCAAATAAACAAGGTTGAAGTTTCTGTGGGCCGCAAAAACACAAAAGCTTCAATTTTCATAGAAACGTAGGTTTATTTCAGTAGAGATATGCTGAATACAAAGGGCTGAAATAAATGAGTCACCTGCAGGGGGAGCAGCCTGGCAGTTCTCTTCTTCGGGTCAAGGTCTCCTGCCCCTCTCACTGGGTGAGAAGGAAAGTCAGGGCCGTGGCTCTATCATGTCAAGCTCTCAGGGCCTGAGCCATCTGGATACGCGGCCTCCTACATATCGTGCAGACATGTACCTGCTCTTTGCTCCCTGGTGTTCGGACCGCTCTTTCCCTGGTGGTTTTATTCCACTGAGAACGGGAACCGGTTTTCGCTGTCTGCAGCCCCGTGTTCCGCGCAGGGCCTGGCTCAGTGGTTGTTCGAATGAATGAGCCAACACATCTCTTTGGCACACACAGGCCGGGCATGTTTGGCCCCATTTTATGAATGAGTAAACTTGTTCTGAGAGGCGAAGGGACTTGCCATGGTCACATGGGAGCGAGTGGCAGAGCTGAGCCCAGGTCGTCTGTCACAGGACTACACTGTCACGGACGGGAGGTGAACAGAATGACACGCATGACTGTGCGGATCAGGCGCCGTGTACCTGGTGCCCTCCGAGTGTGCCGGGGAAGCCCCGCCTGGCCCCGCCTGGCGGGTGCTGGGGCTGGGCACCGACAGAACCCTGTGTGTTCTTATGACTTTGCCTTTTTCTTTGACACGATAGTTTCTGTTGTTAATGCTAGTAACTCTTTGGCATGTGAGCTGGCTTAAAATTTTTTTCAGAGATAACTACTACCGGTGTGGGGGGACAGGGTCACTCGGTGACCACTGTTTGTGGGCTTGGGGAGACATTGATTCTTAATATTTATGTAGTTTAATCTTTCAAAGTTTTTTATATAGCTTTTACTGTAGTCATTTTTTTATTCTTCTTCCTCATTCCAAGCTGCTCCAGCCTCTTCCATTCAGGGAGCGTTAATTAAGGGCCACTCGGGTAAGGCAGGCCCCATGGAGGCCCAAATTTCCACCTTCTCAGAAGTTACCCCAAATAGGGGAAGGAAACGTCATTGGAAACTCCAACGCAGGGTGCGCACCTACCCCTGGGCGTGGCGTCGTGGGGTGGGGTGGGGCGGGAAATATTAGGCCCTTCCGCTCTTCCTCATTCAAGTTTCAGGGCAGATCTGCTTTGCCCGTCAAGACCAGGGAGGGTCAAGACCAGGGAGGTGAAAGGGGTGCAATATGGTTTAGTGGCTTCCAGACAAATGTCAAAACCTCAGTTTGGTGGGTGTGTCACCAATAATTGTCAGAAGATTTCCCTTTTCTGTAAAATACAGTGGAGTCAGGCTAGCTCCTGAAGGCCGTTCTGGCCAGCGTGTTTACCCGCCGGCGGGCCCTGCCTTCCTGGGCCTTTGGCGTCTTTGGGGAAACCGTCCTCAGCGTTGAGTAAACAGACTGAGGCCATTGTAGGAAACGGTGTCTGGAGACGGCGTCTCTGAAGAAGAGGCAGAGAGCTGAGGAGCCAGTGTGGGCATCCCAGCTGACAGAGCAGCAGGGGCCACAGCAAGGAGCAGATGGAACAGAAAGCCTGGCATGGGGAGGTTAGCAGGAGCTAAAACCAGGGCTGAGCCAGGCCAGGGAGCACCCAGAGGGGAGGGCAGCAAGTCATGGTAGCTGCTTTCCAGGAACGCTCATGAGACCCAGAGGCCTTACAGCGTCTGCTCTTTGCCGGCATGCTATAATGCTCACGTGCCCGGATACAGTTAGTGCGCCCAAAGAGAAAGCTGCTACCCTGCCTGCTCGATCTGTGTGTTTAGATTTGCTTAGAACCTGCGTGGTTTGGCCATTCACGTGCTGCAGCAGGAGAAAGAGCTGAGGCCAGGGGGGCCGAGCAGAGAGGGAGCCGGCTCCTCCCCGGAAGCCTGCCCGGTGCCGGCTGCACAGGCCCAGCGTGAGATGGGCCACAAGGTGACCATTCTCTCACGTGACCTTGAGGCCTTGGCAAAGGGGACCCACTCGCCTCCTCTCTTACCCAGTCATAGGACAGACTGACTGGTACCAGCCACTGCTAATGCTGGCCCACAGGGTGCTATCGTGTTCAGACTGGAAAACGCCCCGCACCACTGCTGGAGAGCTGTGGAATGCACCTGCCCTGTTAGGGACATGAGAGACGGCGCTCTCATAGATGTGTAACCTGAGGTGTGGACGATGCCCCTTCGATGCGGTGGCGTCTGGGGCTGAGAGTCAGGATTCATAGGTGGTGGCCCCCTGGGATCCCTGACTTGCTCCTCCCGCCGCTGGGCCTTCTCCTTCCTGCCCGGTTGCCATGGTAACCTCCCTCTTTTCCTCTTTATCTCCTGCCAAGGTCCCGAGACTGGCCAGAGGCTCTGCACTGGTACAGCACTGCCCTGGAGAAAACGGACTGTGACGAGGGCGGCGAGTATGACGGGATGCAAGACGAGCCCCGGTACACGCTGCTGGCCAGGGAGGCCGAGATGCTGTCTGTGGGCGGCTTCCGGCTGCAGAAGGACCCGCAGAGGTCAGGTAGGTCGGGGAGACCTGCCCCTGAGGCGGGCGGGCCGGGCAGGAGGGACATGATTCCTGTCCCACGGGCAGGACACGGGCTGCGTGCGGCTCCTCTTTCCGATGCACAGGCCCTCCCTTCTGCCAGGCTGGACCCCACAGGCGCTGGCTTAGGGGGCTTCATGGAGCTGGTGTGCAGATGAGCATTTTTATTTTAATGGCTATATATCAGGGGCTCGGGTTTTAGGGTGTTGGGGTTTTTTTTACTATTAAAAATCAATTGAACTGACATTTTCATCACCTAAAATTCACCATTTTATTTATTTATTTATTTTTTATATATTTTATTGATTTTTTTACAGAGAGGAAGGGAGAGAGATAGAGAGTTAGAAACATCGATGAGAGAGGAACATCGACCAGCTGCCTCCTGCACATCTCCCACTGGGGATGTGCCCGCAACCCAGGTACATGCCCTTGACCGGAATCGAACCTGGGACCTTTCAGTCCGCAGGCCGACGCTCTATCCACTGAGCCAAACCGGTTTCACCTAAAATTCACCATTTTAAAGTGTACAAGTTCAGTGGTGTTTAGTACCTTCACGATGTTGAGCAACCATCCCCACTATCTCAGTCCAGATACTTCCACACGCCGCCGCAGAGAGAGCCAGTCCCCGGTAGCAGTGGCCTCCTGCCCCCCTTCATTCCTGCAAACCACTAGCCTACTTTTTGTGTGGATTTACCTACTCTGGACAGTTCATAAAGAGAGAATCATACAATATGTGGCTCTTGTGTCTGGCTTCTTTCACGGAGCATAATACTTTCAAGGTTCATCCGTGTTGTAGCATGTATTAGTACTTCATTCCTTCTTATTGCCTCATAATATTCCATTGTACAGAGGTACTATATTCTGTGTATCCGTTCAGCAGTTGATGCACACATTAGATATTTTTTCTGTTACATAATAAACATACTGAACTCCTTATTTCTCTTATTTCACAGGTATGGGGGTTGAGGCCAAGTTTTTAAAAAAAAAATGTTAAGGGTGTATAAAAAATTAAGCAATTCTGTAATTCCTTATTTGGAATTTCTAAATCTCAGAAGCTCTGAAAAACCAGTTTTTGTTCATGTGGCACAAATTCACTTGGTGGCCAAACCTGTCCAGAACTGACATGGGGCCGTTTGTAATCTTTATTTCTTCCCCTTGCATACCTTCTCCAAATGGCCCTGCAAAGGCCTCAGCCTGCTTCTCGTTGGCTCAGATGGAAGCACCCCAGCCCTCATGCCAGTCATTGAGATGGCTTCCTCTGATTGGCTGTGTCTCAGTCTGGGCCAATCTCTGCGGCCTGCCTGGTGGGGGATGAGGAGGGTACTTTGTTTGGCCAGACTCCGATCGCATGGCCGCCCAGAGCCCCACCCAGGTCCTGTGGAGGGAGAGGGAATTAGTAATATTTGGGGTGCTGTTCCCAGGGAGGGGAGGGGATACTGGTCTGGCAAAAACACCAGGTGGCTCAGCTGTGTGTGGCCCACTTTGCTGTCTTTCAGGCGACTTGTACACGCAGGCGGCCGAGGCAGCGATGGAAGCCCTGAAGGGCCGGCTGGCCAACCAGTACTACCAGAAGGCGGAGGAGGCCTGGGCCCAGATGGAGGAGTAACGCGCCAGGAAGATCACCTGGGCCAGTCCCCACACAAGGGCTGGAGGGGAAAAGACCCACCGACTCATCTAGGGGCTATTTGGGGGTGTTTTTAGTGTGTTTACATCAACTTTTGTACATCATTCTTTGACTCATAAAAACGTCTTTGCTATCAGCAAAGACATAGCTGTCCCCCAGGGTGTGTTTTGGGGCGTGGGGATTGAAAAAGCAGCCTAATGAGCCGGCATGTGGATTTGAGGTTCTTTTGTCACAAGATGCAAGAAAGTGCTTTTGGAAAACCTTAGGACTTTGCTCCCCAGCATTTTCAGGCTGGACTGCAGTCTCAGCCCACAGGGCCTGTGTCCTGAGTCGGATGAGGATGTGTTGCTGCCCGTGAACGCTCCGTGAGCTCTCCGTGGGGCCTACGGTCCCAGCGTAGTGCGCAGCCTCTCCTCAGCACTTGGAAGCATGCACGGCGTTGCTCCATGCAAGTGAGATGGCACAGCGCCCGGGCCCTCTTCTGCCGTGGGAGGGGGAGGGCCCGCACATGGACTGTTTTCTTACCTTTTAGTTTAATTTCCTTCCTGAAATGCAACTGATTTTCTGGAATACAGCCGAATTCCATTTTGAAGCATGGTTTCTACAGGGGGCTCTCCAAACAGGTTTGGTTTGTACACACGCTTTCCTGCCTCTGAGTGCTCCGTCAGCGCGTGTGGGAGTGGGTGCGCCTAAGGCTCCCACAGGCAGGACCGTGGCCGGCGTGGCCAAGCCCTCCCTCCAAGCAGCATGTACTCTGCATCTTGGGCAGCATCCACAGTGGCTCCAGCCGCCTTGGCACAGGACCCCCTCGTGTTCTCTCGGCAGCTGATGTCCAGCCCTGTCCTTGGCATCTTCTGCTTGAAGCCTGCTTTCCAGTCACTCACAGCAGGTGCTTGCAGCAGCAGCACTTCAGGTTTATCTGCCACGTTGGAGAACGAGGCGGCAAGAACTAACTATAAACACTCCTTGACCAGTTTCCACACGGCCAGGCACTGGCTAATTGTACATAAGGAGCTTTTTCTTCAGAAAGATTTCAGCCTGACCCGTAGTTCACTCCCCCAGCCTGAGAGTGGGAAGCTGCTGGACGAGCAGCGTTGACATGGGAAAGCCTGCAGAGGATGGTTAAGGCTGTGCCACTTGGCATGAGCACTTGCCATTGTTTTTGAGGGTTATTGGGAAGCAGAAAAAAAAGAAAGATTTCAGCCCTAGCTGGTTTGGCTCAGTGGATAGAGCATCAGCCCTCAGATTGGCCTTGCTGTGGAGCTGTGAACCTGTGCAGCTGGTTTCAAAAGCCAGAGTGTGCCCGGAAGGAAAAGCCCAGCAGAGCCAAGACCACTGGGGCAGTCCTTTGGCGGACCTCTAAGTGGCTGTCCCTCTTTGCATGTGGGCTTGTCACGGCCAGTTCCCTTTAGAAGCTGGGGCTGATTGCTCTTTTTCCACTTGCAGCAGATCGAGTAGTAGTTTTTTGTTTTAAACCAGTTGCATGCAGTTAAATTGCATATATTAAATGTAAGTCCCAAGCAGTTTTACTGTGACTTATCTCTTCAGGGTGATCAAGCCTCATATATCCATGTCCTTTGTTGTCCTTAATTCAGCCAGTCCCCCCCCACCCTCTCTTCATTTGCAAATCATTTGTTCCCTGATCACCTCTCTCAGTTCTTAGTTATGCATTAGTGCTTTCCTTTAACACTGGGATCCACAAACTTTTTTGTAAAGGGTCAGATAGTAAATATTTTAGGCCATATGCTCTGCAGGGGCTCAGCCCTGCTATGGTAGAGCAGAAGCAGCCATAGACAATTCTTAAATGAATGGGCATGGCTGGTGTTCCAATAAAACTTTATTTTGAAAGCAGGTGGCTCACCTGGGCTGTAGTTTTCCAAACCTCTGCTCTAACCCTTGATTGAGACCTACTGTGTTAGGCTCTGGGCATGAGCTCTCACAGTTTTCTGACCTTGGCACAGAGTAGGCACTCAGTAATTGTGAACAAATGGAGAACCGGTCACTGCACTCACTCTTCGCAGTTAATGATGCAGTGTTTGGATCGGCTTGAACCACCACCCCTGCATCTGCACCCACCCGCCCACATGGCCTTAATGTCGAAGGTGGTGCCCTCTCCTCCCGGAGGTCGCGATGGCCTGGATGTAGAGTTAAGCAAATGCTTCTCTAAGGACCATTGAGAGTGAGAGTGAAATGATGTTGAGATCCTCCTGAGCCAGAAGAAGACTTTACTTCATCTTCAAAACCTAGTTTTGTGCTCTTCACCATCTTTCCTGCGCTCCGGCGGCCGCAGCCATGAAGGTCGAGCTCTGCGGTTTCAGTTACAAGATCTACCCTGGACACTCGCGGTGCTACGCCAGTACCGACGGGAAGGTTTTCCCGTTTCTTAATGCAAAATGCTAGTCGGTATTCCTTTCCAAGAGGAATCCTGGGCAGATAAACTGGACTGTCCTCTACGGAAGAAAGCACAAAAACGGACAGTCGGAAGAAATTCAAAAGAAAAGACCCGCCGTGCAGTCAGATTCCAGAGGGCCGTCACTGGTGCATCTCTTGCTGATATAATGGCCAAGAGGAACCAGAAACCTGAAGTTAGGAAAGCTCAACGGGAACAAACTATCAGGGCTGCCAAGGAAGCAAAAAAGGCTAAGCAAGCACCTAAAAAGACAGCACTGGCTGCTGCTAGGGCTCCCACAAAGGCTGTGCCTGAGCAAAGGGTTGAAGCCTGTGAAGGTTTCTGCTCCCCATGTTGGTGGGAAGTGCTCAGTTGGCAGATGAGATTCTTAAATAAAGACCTGACTATAACTAAGAACACACACACACACAACAACAAACCTGGTTCTGTGCCTTCTAAAGCTGGCTAGGGCATCTCCTTTTCCCACAAATGCTGAGCATGCAAGCAACAGTCCCCTGTCTCCCCCCCACCACCACTACAAATACCCAGGACAGTCCAGCCCCACTGGAAAATATCAGACTATCTTCAATGAAGAAACAGATGAAGGTCTGGGAGATTAGATAAGCAGAGTTGGGGATGTCATCTGGGGCCTCCAATCACAGATGGAGAAACTGAAGTTCTGAAAGGTAGAATCTTCACAGTGACACTGCTGGTTAGCCGCTAAGCTGGAGTAGGGTTTTGAGAGCTGCTGTTATTCAGAGAACTCAGAAAAGAAAATTTAAACTTAAACTGGTCTGTGATATCCTTTTCAGTTTTACTACAGGTGGGAAAAAGTGGGGAGGGGCTTGACCCTGGTCGGGAAGTTCTCTTGGTTAGAGCATCTCCCGATACACCAAGGTTGCAGGTTCAATTCCCAGTCAGGGCACATACAAGAATTAACCAATGAATGCATAAATAAGTGAGATAACAAATTGATGTTTCTCTCCCTCCCTTTCTTTCTCCCTTCCTATCTCTGTAAAATCAATCAATAAAAAAAAAATGTAAAGGCTTTATTAATGTAAGAAGGGGAAAAAACAAACACCATTGCGTCTGAATATTCCTCTTCCCTCTCCCTCATTCGAGGCATTGTGGGAATTTATTGAACGCCACCTTGATGACCCAGCCAGGTAAACTACCTTTTTGCTGTTTCAGTGACTTCATTTCTTCCCACCCCCACCCCTGCACATGTGTTTGCAGTACTGGACATGTTTTACCAATCAGCAAATGTTTACACAAGTGTATGCAACTTGGGGGTGGGGCAGAATATGCATATTCTCTGCGTGGATTTGTGCGTGTTATTTGTGTTTCTAGTCTCTGGGGTAACCATGTAACCTAGACAAGGTGGGACACTGGTAGAAACCAGAGAAGTGGCTTGCAGTATATATTTGTTTTCGCATATGTATTAAGTTCCATTTTGTATTACAAATAAAGTGGTTTCTTCCCATCTGGTCTCAAATTCAGATGTCTCCTGTTAGCAGACGTGTTAAAATTAACAGTCCTACCACTGTGCAAAAGTAAACAAACACTTTTACTGTAATACTAGAGACCTACTAATTTTTTTTTAAATATATTTTATTGATTTTTTACAGAGAGGAAGGGAGAGAGATAGAGAGCTAGAAACATCGATGAGAGAGAAACATCGATCAGCTGCCTCCTGCACATCTCCTACTGGGGATGTGCCCGCGACCCAGGTACATGCCCCTGACCGGAATCGAACCTGGGACCTTTCAGTCTGCAGGCCGACGCTCTATCCACTGAGCCAAACCGGTTTCGGCAATACTAATTTTTAAAATAGGAAAAATATTAATAGACACTTCACTAAAGAATATATACAAATGGCAAATAAGCACATAAAAGGATGGGCATTAAAAAAGTACAAATTATAACCGCGGTGGAATACAACCATATACTCACTAAAATGGCAAGAACAAGGACGCCGGCAGCAACAAATGCTGGCAAAAATGGGGAACCCAATCTCCTCACAATTGCTAATGGGAATGGACAGTTATCTTTGGTAAAAAAACCAACACGTTTTGAAGTGAGCCTTTATACTTACAATGAGGATCCGACGATTGTATCCTCGAAAGTATGCAAGAGATAGGGAGACATATATCCTTCATATTGGTCCCCAAATTGGGAGGCGAAAAATGCTGGAAAAATCCACAACGCCTTCTTTATTATAAAAAATAATTAA